ATCTGCGTGGGTTTTCCCATTTGACCAGATGGTTGCTCTCTAGCAAGAGAAAGCTCTCCTTCGTCAATGACTGGACCATAAATGAAAGAACAGTACATATACATTCCACCACCTGAGCCATCATATCGATAACAAACTTGACGATGAAAAAATGGTTTAGACTTTCACGGCTGAGATTTTCAGTGTAATTTCTTTTCGAGTATGAAAGCCGTGGATTTTTTGTTCCCATGGATTGTTTGCTGTGGCAGCTGAACAAGACTAAAAGAGCATAAAAAGTACTGCAGACTAGGCCAAACGGACAAGTCAGCTATGGCAGAACACGCACTTAGTGAAGGAGACCACAGATTTTGTTTGAAAATACACAACCAATTGCCTCCAACCAGGGATACCATAGCCGACTGGTACGGGAATATGGAATATGGAACCCCATTTTAAGGAATTCGAGAATAACGAACACGACAACAGGCAGCAAGATTGTTAATGTTCCAAGTTCAAGTGCAGGAACGAGTACAGTAACAAATGCAAGTACAAATACAACTGATTACCTGATAAGGCATAAATACGCTTTACGAAGCCGAAAAGGTAGTCATCGGACAGCAAGCCATGATGGTTAAACCTCTGAAGAAGCTAGCTACTCGCGCCAGCGAAACGTCAGGAAAAAATTCCTAAAATGAAAAGAAATGACACTGAAGACTTGACGATGATGGCATATCTGCTTTGTAGGTATTTGTCGCCGAGGCCAATGGGTTAAGGGAGAAGACGGTCAAACCTTAGCTTCGGCAAAAAACCTTCAATCACTCAATACAAAGCATTTACCCCACTATGGTTCTTTCATCAAACAGGTGAAGTGTAGTCATCGGCAGGCAGTACAGGTCTGGGGCCAAACATGAGATTGGTCAAAAAATTTGATTCTCCAGGCAAGTGGGGAAGAGTTCTCCAGAACAATGCATGACATATGCAGTGGTTCGACGAAGATCTCATCTGGAGTGTGGTGGACACACAAATCAACCGTTGCAGGTGTCGGCAGGATCACATTAATTGCATTATCGAGTGCAAAAATTGCTCATCACTATTTTTGACAAAATTTCGTCTGTACTTCTTCAATTATGAATTAGATCATTGGATAGGCTTCTTGCAAGAATCTGAATTCTCTTAAAGGTGGTCTATTTCTATTGATGTTGACAACACTGCGCTGCACTTGTAGACAGTGTCAAATTTTTTTTAACTGTAGGTGTTTTGTAAATTGTTCAATGAAAATCTGAATACTTTTTTGCGGTCCTTTAAAAGAAACGCTCATAAAGTTTTCATAACTTACTGAAAAAATCTCCAGCTGTGTTCGTCTCGAGTTTAGTGAATCAAAATGAGAAGCTTGAAATATTCTTGCCTCCACCTGCTATCAAATAAGTTCATGAAGATTATTCAACCCAACCAATCCTACTGATGGCAAAATTACTTTCATTCGAAGAGAGTCGAGACACTCGAGTAAATTCGATTAAAAACAACATAAACCCGACGTTTAAATTACATAAATGCCGTATAAAATTGAAGGCATTATTAGAGGGAATCATAATAAAGTTGTTGAGTTATTTGTTTGTTTGGATGCTTTCGAATGGAGGATGGCGCTGCAAAAAGTAATTATGCAGATGTCGAGTACTTCTTGCGAATGAAATGCAGAGCATGAGTGGAAGAGACGAGCTGTTTACATTTTGATCTCGAGTGTTTTTCACGTAGGGATGTTTCAAAAATAGATTTTCATGGTGCTTAGACGATTCACTTGGAGAATATACGTTTCAAAAATTATATTTGGATGCTTGTTAGTGGAGATAGTGCTGAAATACCAGTAACAAGACAGAGCAAGCCAAACTTATCTTCAAGGAATTTTATTGAATTAATCTTCTTTCATAGTTATCCAAGAAGATGATGATGAGGAGATCAATACTGGTTTTTGCAATCGAAATTTGTGGTAGTGTATCTGGAGATTGAACATTTTTTTTGTAAGTGAAATCTTATATCCACGAATTTTCCCCTTTTGATATATATNATTTCAAACAACATTTTTGAGTAATCATAACTTCACCAATATAGAATTTCTACACTCAAATCGCGATCAGTTCCTGAACTGAACATTGACAATACGAAGGCTCGCATTCTATTCGTCTCCGTAACATGACTTCAAATTTAATTTTATGATTCTTCAGCCAATCATAAAACTCGGTTAGTAAAAATTGTCCAATACGAATCGCCAATTCTTCAGTCCACGTGGACTAATTCGTAGCGGCATTATTTCTTTGTATTGGTTTTTTTGGCCTTTGAGTTCGCCGATAGCTTTAAGATTACTATATCAGTTACTTCCACTATACCGCCTCCTTGCTCTTTTCTTGTTTTACAGCAAGAAAGCAGTTTGAATGACTAGCTCTTGATTTGCGGAGACAAGTTGCAGATCAGTTCTTGATTTTTTTTAATGAAATTATGTAAATACATTCAGTAGGTCTGCGATTAGGTTTTTATCTATTTTTTATACTCCTAATTGCTATTGTTCAATAAATAATCTCAATTTATTATTTTTGGACTCGGTCGATGACTGCGCAAGTGATAATTCGTCAATTATCCTTATCCAGTCTGCCCCCACCAGGTGTCGCTGCTTACTCAGTAAATAGCACATACGTTCACTTGATTTAACCTCAAAAGTACTAAACGCGAGTCGCAAGCTCCCGTTACTGTGTTGAACGTATTGCGTTTTATTTATTAGTGACACTATATTAATGATACCATTAAAACCAGTGCCTATCAAATTTTTTGATATTCATTCTAATAAAAAAATATTGTAAGTGATAAGTAGAATAATAGATGAAATTACACAAATAAAATTGATTAGCATACTGCTTTTTATCATTAACTAATTGAATGTCTTCTATTTGTGTTATTAGTGCAATGCCAGCAAGGCGCAGAGGAGCTTCTTTAGGCCGTCAAACGTCTAGAACTGAGAGCAGGCGAATTACAAGAGCCCAAAGAACAGAAGACCAAATCCAGCAAGATAACGAAGGTGTGCGTGTGAACATGGCGCGATTGCGTCAAGCTGAATCAGAGGATGTACGAGCGGAACGAAATGAAGAAAGAAGATTAGAACAAAAGCAAGCGCACCGTTATGAAGTTAGAAGACGCAGAGCAAGTGACCAACAAAGCCAACAGGTGCATCGGTCATTTACATCTAATTTATTCCAGAGTTTGGCATTCAAGTATAAGGCTGATATATATATAAGGAGGAAATTCGTGGACATGACACTCAAGAAATATGGAGGCAAACCGCGGACACGTGTTTCTGACTATTGGCCTCATCAGTGCGGTGCAGCCAATTGCAAAGGTGGACAACAACTGGTTACCAAAAATGAAAAAAAACATCACATATGCACGGTGTCACCAACAGGAGCCAACCGCATTTTTGAAATTGTGAATTTCATATGATCTCGGAGTCATCAGGATCTTTTTAAACAGTTTTTTTGTATTATAGTTCTGCCAGGCAAAATTATCATAGAAAGCAAAATCATAAAAAGCATACAAGTATATAGATCTGAGGTGGCTACCGCTGGAATTTCGAATCTTTAGAATCAGAGGAGTCTATTTTGAGGAGTGTAAAACAACAGCCTTGAGTTGTTTCCTTGATGGTTTCTAAAAATAGGATTTCGATCTGAAGTTGTAAAAGTTCAGTGCATTGAACCCTAGGTTGAGAACCTGTACTTTGTTATATTTCCTATTGAAGCCATCATTGGAAAGAGTAGAACATGTCAAAATATTTCTGATTTCTTTATTCAGTAACAATTGTTCAAAAGTGATAATTTAGTATTTTAATTCATTCATTTGAAGGTTGGGGATGCAACACCCTATTAAAACTCCCATGTAAACCGTGTTCATTGTTTTATTGGTATGCTTGAAAAGTCCCTTATCCCAGTGTAAATAAGTTGGTCTACAGTGACAAGTGTGGAAAAGGCGTACAGTATTTCTATAAATTTCTGTAGCGTTTGAATGAGGGCTTTGCTTTTGATTTAGTAAAGCTCTTCAACACTTAAAATTGAATTTCTTTGAAAAAACAAAAATCGACTTGCGCCCTTGCATGAATCTTTTCTGGTAGTAGATGGAATTAAGTCAAAATCAATAATTTTCTGATTTATCTGCTTTTGAAATTTGTTGCATCATATTACGTTGTATATAATGCAATGTCCTGTATATTATATCCGTTTCGATGCCTTAACGAAAGTTTGGAGTACAAACTTAATGATGAAAAGTGATTTCCCTGTGATTCCATCTCCATAATTGGAAGTAATACTAATCTGAAATAGTGAGTTCTGTACTTTTGAATTTTATTTTCATATCATTGAAAAACATTTTTTTCAATCACTTTCATTTTTTGCCTCAAACCAAGTTTCTTCATCTGTATTTTAAACATCTGTAGGATTATGAATTAATCAAATAGAGAAGAATATAATTATATATACCAAATCAGTTCAAATTCAGCGCAATTTTTCTCCAATGTCATGACAAGCGAGTCGGCCAAAATATTCAACATTACATAGCGAATTCTAACATATCGTCAAACAAATTTGTGATGTTTCACCGAAGTGATGAGAAAAGGAAAGCGAACAATATGAAAATCCATCGTGATCATTCAAATCGTGGTAAGCGTTTTTGATTAGAATGATTTTTTTAATTCTCTCAAATATTTATGCATCATATGTGATCAGTTAAATGGACCAGTATTCCACTGTTGATAGTCTAGCAGCTATTTGGAAATAAATTTCACTAGATATATTTCGAAAATCAACTGAATTTATTACCGTCTCCATAATACGACTCAATATTTACTATATGTCTTTGATTGATTATAGATAAGGTGAGAAACTTATGAAATTACCAATGCCAAAACATTAATAATTGAATTAGTGCTATGTTCAGAAACAACTCTACCGATTACTTTCTTGAATGTATTTAAAAGCATTGAAACTTACATAATGAGTATCATCTTCTTCATTATACGCCAGTTTGACTATACCATACGAGCCCTGAAAAAAAAATTCAAAATATTCAAAAATATTTTTTTCAAGGAAAATTTAATCATTATCGAAATCGAGAAAAATATTCCCATATTTTTTTCGATTTCGATTCCAAAGAGTTTATTTTGAAATTAAGTGCTTTTTCTTGGAAATAATCCCACATTTTTTGGTAAAAATATGGAGAAAAAAAGTCCAAAGCCTCTCTTCAGAAAGATGTACTACAAAATCCGGGTTTAGAGAGTAGACTTTGTAGTAGAGTTGAACAATTTTAGTGAACACATGAAATAAACCTATATAAAAGCACGCGGCTTCGCCCGCGTAGAATTTGGTAGTTGTAGTATAGTCATCGTCCATAGATATTCTAATTAGAATATCTATGGACGATGGTATAGTCTATGAGAGTACAGTCATGAACATTTCTTGCCCGTGGCCCCTAGTCGCTCAGATAGTTACTAAACGTGCTATCAAATGTAGTTGAGAAATAAAGGCTCGGCTAGCTGGACTGGCTGAATACTAATTTTTTGTCCGTTTAACAATATTTCTTTATCAGTGCCGTGTGTTCGTGGGGTTAGGTGAGGTAGTTAGTGGTTTTGCAAACCGATTTTTGAAAACTCTTTCTAGAGATGAATTACCCTAACACCAAACTGATATTTTTGCACTCGACGCGCGTTTCGCTAACAAGGTTAGCATCAGCCCTAGTCTGAACGATCGATCTTCACTTGCTACCGTCCAACCCGTGTTAGGAATCACACGTTAAAAGGTAAGACCTCGTTAATCCTTAGCTCGCACAAGTTTCGACTTCTGAGGGTTGTCGTTCGTAGGGGTGCGACAGCTGGTTAACGGAAAAACAGATTTTGAACAGATTTTTAAACAGATCTTCAGGAGAAGCAAATTGATACTTAATCTAAAGACAAGGGTTAGCTGTTTACATACCTAAAGGTTTTTGGTCCGATGTGGAATTTGTTTGTTAAATGATGATTATCCTAATTGATTTTCGAAACCTTGTTAGCGAAACGCGCGTCGAGTGCAAAAATATCAGTTTGGTGTTAGGGTAATTGATCTCTAGGAAAAGTTTACAACTTTTACACCAAAGGTTAAAATCTCATCGTTTAAACCGATTTTTGTAAAAATTTTAGTGTTTTTGAGTACTTTCATCAAAATGGCTTTCTGGAGACCTTTTGAAACAAATGATAACATTACGTGTGAGGAATCTGTGTCAATCGACAGGGATCCGGAATTTGAAAATGAGGACTTACATGTTCAAGTTCAGCGAGTAATTTTGAATATTCATGAATGCTTGAAGAAGGAAAACTGTTACACTTCACAGAATGCTATTGTGAATAGAATATGCCAGTTAACGAAACCATCTCGTTCGACAGTTCTTCGAGTCATTGAAATAGGGGATGTCATTGACCATGCAATGAAACGAAAACAAAGGAATAAAAAATTCGCAAACGTTGATGGTGCTACGAAAGATGTGATTTAGCGAACAATTTATGGTATATACCAAAAAAATGAAGTAACAACCTTGGAAATGATTTGGTATAAATTACTCGACTATCCCGATTACAATTACAAAGCTTTAGACACTCTACGAGGTGTCTCATTGTCTTGTGGTTTCAAATATAAAAAATTGAACAATCAGATGGTCATAATGGAATCGACACGCATTGTTCCACTCCGACAAGAATATTTGAGGCGAATGAAAAGTTACCGAGAATCCAGCAGACATATAATCTACCTCGACGAAACCAAGTATTGTGCTTTGAACACACCTTCGAGGGAAAAACGCGTTATAATTTCGCATGCCGGGAATGAAAGTGGTTTCGTACCTAACGCTTTGCTTCTGTAGGCCAAAAATATAAAAGATTCGTCTGCTGATTACCACGAAGATATGACGCGGCTTTATTCGAAACCTGGTTCAGAGAGCAGCTTCTCCCAAATATTCCTCCAAACTCGGTTATTGTTATGGATAACGCTTCGTATCATTCTCGGTTATTGACTACAATACCAAAGAATAACACAAAAAAAGCAGATATTGTCGATTTCATGCGAAATCATGACATGGAAATACCCGAAAAGATTCCAACGAAAAAGGTATAACTGGTGATCATAAAACAACGTAATTTCAAAAAAGAGTATATTATTGATTCGATATGTGAAACACGTGGTCATATTATCTTACGTTTGCCTCCATACTATTGTGTGTTCAATCCAATTGAAATGGTTTGGGCCATAATGAAAGAAAGCTTGCGGAAATGTAATCAGTCACCGACTTTGAATGCTGACGTGCTTTACAATATAAGACGAGTGATGAATGAAGTAGGTAATAGTGATATGTGGAAGAACTGTGTGGCTCACGTTATAAAAAAAGAGAACAAATATTTTGTGCAAAGTTCCATAAATCCGATCGTTAATCAACCCGATGATGATTCCACCTCATCCGAATAGAGCGAAGAAGAATTTTGATTTTTGTAGCAATTTTGTTGGCCTCTATCATTTTGTAAATATATGTTTGACGAGAATTCAGTTTGATTATTTGTGTTAGTTGTGTCCGAGTTTTCGACTCGGAAATCAACTACCTTAAATTTCGAAGTTTTTCATAATTACCCATGGTGAAAAAATTCAGTTTAGATAACTTTTTCATGGGGTGATCAATTGCTATGATTATAAGAATAAGTAACTGAAAAACTACCACTGAAAAATAGTATGCCGACGCCTATGTCGAGGCGGAAATACCTTCTCTGTGCTGTTCCAATTGGTATTGGAAATACTATACCAATTAGTACTATGTTGCTGTATCGCTGCTGTTCCGATGTTTTGACAGAATCAGAATCAACGAACTTAGGCGTGCGCAGCATTATAGAACAGTGCTTTCAAAAAATTGTTCTACACCGCCATCTAATGGCGAGTTACAGAAAAATTGATAGCCTAAAAACCTTCTCTATGAAAAATTACTCATACATGTCAAGTTTCATCACGATCGGTTGAGCGATGTAGAAGTTTATCACTTACCAATCAACCAACAAACATCCATTTATATTATATTAGATTGAGAAATTTTGACTTGTCAGTTTACAAAATCGCAAAACTATACAACAATAATTTCTTCAAGATCAAATAGTAATAGTAATGGATGTGTAGCGGCTTGAAGAGGTTTTTGAAATTTTGTGAACCATGCTGTGAAAATCTTATCATTGGCAAACTATGAGCAAAGACATTGAATTTTCAAAATTCAACATTAAATTATATGTCGAAAATATCAAAATGGGACTGCATAATTCAGTTCAAATTGATGTTGGTAATAACATGAAAATGTTAGACTGTACCTGCCCTATGCTGTCCATGAGTTTGTACTGGTTCAGCTGTAAATACATTCCGGACTTTTCAATAGAAACTCTTCTAGATTCTCTCAAAGGCTGTCTTTTTCGACTACTCCTTGGGCTATTTGTAGGGCTGTTGTATGGGGAAAACTGACAATTTGGATAAATTGGTCGATTGTCTATTCCAGCTGAAACAATAAAGAAAATCACTTTTGACTAGCAATAGGCAGAAATCAGAGTTACTAGAGCGTTCAATCAGACATTCACAATTTTTCCACCATAAATGCAGGGAAATTTAAACAGCCGCTGATTAGGCTTGGAATTGAATTTAGGCTTTCCAATCATTTCCATTATTTGATGTCACACATACTATATACCAATTTTCAAAACGAGAGTTAAAGCATATCTTTCAAAAAACTTTTCATATTCAATCCTTCTATTTTTAATTTAAACGCTGACCTTGTTCTAGGTTTTTCTATTTCAATTTTCGCCCATTTCATTATGATTGTTTTGATGCATTATTACACTAGCATTATTACAATTCATAACTCTTTTGTCTTGCCATAAATGTGTACTGTAAGCATAATATGACTAAAACAATTGTTTGTGATAGCTATTTAAAAAAACTGATATTCTGATAACAATTAGTGTCAGATTTTTTTAGACATTTGATGGAATCGGCCGGTACTTGATGAAAATCCATAAAGTATTCAAGAAACACTTTTTGCTACATAGTTTTACAAGAAAGCGACACGTGTTTCGCTATACAATAGCCTCTTCAGGCGTGTATTATTTACTAACTGTTCAGAATATTACCTTTGTTGAAATGACGTGGCTATTGGAGTTCTAGAGTTTTGTTGTTTGACTTGAAAGTGGTTGAAATGTTGAAATAATTAAAAATGGAAAATTAAAAAAAAAATCAATTCATTTATATTGAGTTTAATCTTCTTCTTGAAGATGATCACTTGGTGATCAAAACACATGTCGAGGTGTAAAAATAACGGTCTGGCGTTGGGATGAAACTCCAATAAAATTCATCACTACACCAAAGGTTCCAAACAGTGCATCACAAGAACACTATTAATGTTCAAAATAGTACTTTTGTTGAAATGATGTGGCTATGGCAGTTTTGAATTTTGTTGTATGACTAATTTTTGAAGTCGTTGACAATGTTTCTTGGTGAATGTTACAAATTCCATTGTCTAAAACTGGTGTTGAAAGATTTGAAATTTGTAGAAAAACAAATGCATTGAAGATAAATGAAATGTTGAAATTATCAAAAATGGCAAATAAGAAAAAAAAACAAAAAATATGCCAAACTCAGTTATTTCAAGACATTGTTGGTATGCAAAATTGTCTTTGGATTATACTGTATAGTCTTGTTGGCTGATTCCACTGTTCCTCAATCTTCCCTCTCCCCTCTTAGTTTTCGGTTCAGTATAACGCAGACCGCTCTCCTGTTTGATTAGCGGTTTCCATACGTTGCTTACCTCCATACCAGTAGAACTGACGCAGAACTGATCACCCTTTTGAAGCACCTCACAGAATGATACCTTCCACAAAATTCACAATGCAAAAGAAAGTGCCACAACAAATGGGAAATATTTGTATACCGGAAACCAACACACATGGGACAGTATACGAATTACGAATTCAATCACAACCAATCAACAAAGAGAGAAATCGTCAAGATTTAATTGATCGTTCTTTGAGGATCTGAACAAGAAACTAGGCCACATCAGAAGGGATCTTCAGCAAAATAGTTGCTCTGAAAAGCTGGTGGAACAAGCTTCGACTAGAAGATAACGAGAGCCCCACTAGGAGTTATTACAACCAGTGCCATCCCTTCTTGATGCGTCAGATGATGTTGGAGAATATAACAAGAATTCCGAAAACATCATCCGTAGTAGCCTCAACACAATGAAGTCTTCAAATACAGACAGCGACAAAGTTTTGAAAACCTGCAAACATGTTGAATAACGATATGTTGAGATAGGCAACGTATGAAAAGTACTAATCAGGAGGAAAAACGATCTGTGTTGCACAAAGTCGAAAGCCAAGAGGATAGAGAGAAGAGTGGTGACAGAGATAAACACTCGTAGTCTGGAATATCAAGAACAGGTCTTTAATGAAAGACGGAAGATTCATTCGCACTGACGACCATTCCTGTACAGCAGGGTTTCTTAAAGTGGGGTCCATGGACCCCTAGGGGGTCCGTAGCACGTATACCAGGGGTCCGCAGTAGGTCAGTTAAATAATAGTCACAAAACATGAGTTAATTGAAAAAAAGATTGAACTGGGCAGGGTTTCTTAGCAGCGCAGTTGTTTTATGTTTGTTTCTGATTGTTTATTTACTATCGCTTACCAACTGGGATCGGTCACCAAAATCCCACATGTCATAATCACCCATTGTTTTTTACATCGACACGCCTTAGCTTCACGAACTTTGCCCACTTATTTGAAGGAAGTTATGTCGATATGTGTGAAAATAATCAACTTCATCAGAGCGAAAGCCTTAAACCACCGCCTGTTTAAAATACTTTGTCAAGAAATGGGATCAGAACATGAAGTACTGCTTTACTACACAGAAGTTCGTTGGCTGTCAAGGGGACAAGTGTTAAAGCGCTTGTTTGAGTTGCGAGCAGAAGTGTTACTTTTTTTGAAAAATAAAACAAATACACTTTATGAATATCTCAAGAGCGAAGATTTTTTACAAGGGCTAGCGTACTTAGCAGATATTTTTTCTCATTTGAACGAAATTAACCTGTCTCTTCAGGGTCCTGCAGTGACTATCGTGGATGCATCTGAACGGTTGAAAGTGTTTTTATGTAAACTGCCTCTTTGGAAAAGGAGGACAGAATCCGATAACTTCGCAAATTTTCCGATGTTAGAAGAGTTAGTGACACAAGGTGACGGAAACATGACGAAAATTACATCAAAAATTCAAAATGAAATGTCTAAACATCTGGAGACATTACAGACGTCTTTTGAAGGCTATTTCAGCTCCGAACAACTCGACAAAGAAACATGGGTGCGAAGTCCATTTTTAATTGAAATTGACAGCATCAGCGATGAAGATCTTATCAAAGACGACTTAATTGACATCAGATCTAAAGCAGTTTTGAAGGCTGAATTTCATGCAAAAGGTCTTGGCGAGTTTTGGTGTTCATTGAGTGAAGCTTACCCTCTTCTTGTCAAGCGAGCTTTGTCCGTTCTAATACCATATGCTACTACGTATCTTTGTGAGGCCGGGTTCTCAGTTTTAGTGTCAATAAAAACAAAAAGTCGAAATCGCTTGAACGTCGCCGATGACATGCGCCTTGCTTTGTCGAAGACAACCCCACAATTTAACGTTCTTATCGAGGCCAAACAGCAACAGCCTTCTCATTAGTTTTAGAAAAAAGAATAGTGCCATTATTACTACCAACTAATAAAAGTGATTTTATAAATTGGCTTGTTTTCTTTACTTAAGATTAAGATATAGGGGTCCGTGGAATTATTTATATTGTGAAAGTGGTTCGTGACTGCAAAAAGGTTAAGAAACCCTGCTGTAGAGGTATAAGCCTCTAGAAGGGACCCTATAATACTTTTCTTATAACATTCATCATGTACCAAAAATTATTTTTGTAGCGTTTTTCATCATTTATGTTGATTTTTTCATTCAATTGATTTCATTAAATTTTTGTTGTTAATATATTCTTAACATTTCACTTACTGTTAACCCATTCATTCATTTCAGGTCACAATAATTTGTATGTTTAACAAATAAGTGTTCTTACCTATTTTGATTTTATATATTCATTGCCTATTCATTTTTCGCTTAGTTTTTTGTCTTTCAACTAACTCATTGTGACAATATGAAAAACCTAGGATATCCTCAGCTCTAGTAGAATATTGGAAATCGTAATACTATTTGAAGTAATGATGTTGAACTAGAATTGAATGGAAAGCATTGATGATTTTTTCATCAACACATGCGATATTTTATAACTGTCATTACCTATTACTTGAAGGGAATAATCAGAAGACAATTTACCAGAGACCTATTTTTAAATACTCGAGTTTTTTCAAACTATAGACCTGATTATTTCACTTAGAATAGTCTTTCGCAAAATACAGCTATCAGAAAACAAAATTTGTTTTCTGGTATGGCTTTTACAATTCAATTTCAAATTCTTTGGGTTGTTTTTATATTCAGGTATTACTAATCCCATTCCAATCATTCTACAATCTTCTACATCTTGCCTAGATCATTATAGGTTCTATATCTATTGATGATTGATTGCTTCTTTGAATCTTTTTTTTTTCGGTTGGAATATTCTGAAATAAAAATTATTATTTTTAGCTTGTTTCTGATACATTAGATATTTTATCTTGTACTATTAAATGTTCATTTGAATACACAGAAGCCACCTTGTGCATCGTTGTTTATTTCAAGATCAAATAAATTTCAATATCATTAGGTATTCCGATTAGCAAATTGTTTTCTTTCATTAATTTTTATGTATTTTTTTAATTTGAATCCTTAATGAAAATTTTTTTCTCCAGTAATTTTCATACCGCGACCTTCACCATAATGGTTTTTTTTGGAGACCATTTATATTCAAATAAGATCTTAGAAAATGTGGAGATACATAATTTTAATTTCAACCACGAATTACGTGCCTTTTATCTCAGTCAGAAGTTACAAATGATATTCATATTGAGATATATTCATTCTTTATTTTTCTCATCAACCTTTCTTCAGATCTGGTCCTGTACCAATTTTTTTATTCTCACAAGACTTTCAGGGTCCTTATCCAGGGTGAATCTCCAGGAACTACATCAATCTATTGTACGAAAACTATACTAAGAATCTGAAAATCTGACAATATACTAAAGACGATGGGGGCAACTCGGTAGAAATATTTTCAAAATGGCAGCACGTCTGGTTATACCGGAAGTTGCTGTCAACTTTGTTATTTTAAACAGAACACCCTATATATTATCACATTTTTGGATTCTACATCAGAATCCAAATAATTTTTGTGCATAATGTCCTATATCTAAGTCTAACCGTTTTCGACATATTCAAGTTTTTATGTCAAAAATGATGTTTGCAGACCCTGCAATCATTATCAATTTTTCATATAAGAAAACCTTTATCATTATATTTTGGTCGGGTTCCTTATAGAGTAGAACCGAGTTCAATAGGCTCCATATGAAATTTTTATAATAAATATTACGGGGTGGTGAAAAAAGAATATGAATGAAATTTAATAAACCGTTTGAAGTGACTTTTTTCAAATGGAAACCCGCCATTTTTATGATTCTATCGTATTGAGCATCAAAAATAAGGGTAACTTTGTACGGGAATACCTATTCCGAAAATTAGTAATTTTTGAAATATTTGCAATTTAATATGTTTCTTTCGACAGAATACTTACTAATAAAAAAGTGTCATCGGCAACAGTGCTCTGTGACTTTGCTAAAGCCTTCGACTGTGTAGATCATGGAATACTGCTAAAAAAACGATATCACTATGGCATCCGTGGAATTTCTCATAAGTGGTTCGAGAATTATGTCACAGAAAGAAGTCAGATTGTGAAAACCCCATCGTCCTCATCAGAAGGCGAAATAAAGAAAGGCGTCCCACAAGGTTCAATAGTGGGACCGATACTTTCCCTGCCATACATACACGATTTAGCATCGTATCGATATAGAATATTACCGATGTCACCACAATATTATGGCGTGATAAAACTTTATGTAGTCTCCACGAGATCTTAAGTGCAGATATAAAAAAAATTAAAAAGTGGTGCGACTCTAATCTGCTGTCTTTAAATGTTTCCAAAACAAATTTAATATCATTCGCCTGCTTTATTGACAGCATCCTTTTACCAACACAGGACGCGGACAGGATAATTGAAAGCAGACCTTGTACTAATAAATTTTTGGGAGTAATAATTGACAATATACTCAAATTCGCCGATCACATTGTAACCCTCAATAAAAAGCTAGCTTCAGGGTGTTTTGCAGTGACAATAACTTATGAGGATCTTGGTTTGTCTGCTGCTAAATTGGCTTATTTCTCACTTGTTGAGTCACATTTAAGGTATGGAATTCCTTTCTGGGGAGTATGTTACAAAACTCAAATGCAGACGGTGTTCATTATTCAGAAAAGGGCTATAAGATTTATGCGCAATGCCAAAAGTCGAGACTCCTGCAAACCCCTATTTGAATTACATAAAATTTTGACTATTTGTGGATCCTAAAAATCGAAACGTCGTGACATAACTTGGTTTGAAATTTTTATAATATTTTTAATTTTTTAATTTTCAGCTTTTATTAATATTTCAATTTTTTATTTTTTTATTTGTTTAGTTGTTGCTTGTATGTTATTACTTTATAATTTTCAGTTTTTTGTTTGATAAAACTGTTATTTTCGGTTAATTTTTTTTATTTTTTCCAGGGATTTCAAATCAATTTATATTATATTAGACAATGGAAGTCTGAACTGATGAAATACGATCCACCTGTAATTGGTCTCATCAATTCATTTGTCTGATACTTAAACGATTTACTGTAAAAAAATATCGAATATCGCCCTCAATAGTCAATAAAGCAGCTGGAATTACTTCTTTGTTCTCATATGAACATATTCTGCTTTCGCGTAACCTGATATGAGGTCGTTTCTTTGAGAGCGACTGACTGGATACGAGGTCTTTGCCAAATCCTTTCCAGTTTTCTTATGTTTTGGAATGAAAGTGGTAGATCTGTATTTCAGCACCAAACTTGATCTGGGAATTATACATTGTTTGAGAAGTAGGAGTTCTGCTCATTTTAATAGAATTCCTGGATAAATTCAGTCTGAATTCTGCGACGTAATGGTTGAAACCAGTCATAGTTAATATAAACTGCAAATCTGCGACTTGAAAACTACCTATCCTCCCTGGACTCTGTTGATAGATTTGTGATTGTTTACACGATGAATTTACCAGAAGGAGCTCTCTACTCTAGTTTCACACTTCCTATTTGTTTACAGATTATTTACAAAGACTTGAACTGATCTGTTCAACCTGCTGCATTGCATCGTACAAGAGTGTGTTTCAGATTTTCTAGGGGCTTTGTTCTATTCAATTAGAGATCATTCATATTAGTTTCATACACCTGATTTCCTTGCAATTTCAAAAATGTGTTGTCTCGTGCATCTGGGAAATATCGCCCCGATAGGGTGTTATAATGGAAAAGGTGGTACGCCTAAGGCAAAGAACCACGCACATAATACATAGGTTCTTGAATACCCGTCAATTTTCTCATGATGATTTCTTCAAATATTTCTTTGATTGAACAAAAAGTTTAATGAGTGCTAATCAAAAGTAAAGCTACTGACAGTACTTCAAAGTTATATTCAGTTACCTATAAAACCTACTATTGGTCACCATATCAATAACCTGATCTTGGATTCGGTACTGGTACTTGTATAAAACGTCCTTAGGAACCTCAGTGGATTTTTTATTGGGAAAACAGGCTGTTTTACACGCTTTGGATTAGTGTAGCTCAAAACCAGTCCGTCTTTGGTTGCATGATTTTGGATAAGTATTTCTCTATTTCATATTTGACAACCAGATCTATAAACAGGTAGAGGGAGCTCCGATGGGTTCCTCCCTATCGCCCGTGATCGCAAACCTGTTCATGATGCACTTCGAGAAAGAAGCACTTAACAACGTCCGCCTCAAACCAACCCTGCGGAAAAGATATGTAGACAACATATTCATCATCTGGCCCCACGGAAAACAAGAACTAGACCGGTTTGTGACCTACCTGAACAAGTTATGAAGTTTATCCAATAAGATGATATCAGCTGGTAACAAATTTTGGAAAAAATTACCCCAACATTAGCGTCAAAAAACATAACTGAGAACACTTACCCAAAGATTTTGATTGTATCAACATTTTAGGGCTGAGCCCCTTGACATTCTCAACAGAGATATCCTCAGAAATATTCTTAAGGGAAGGCACTGAGTTGTTATCTATCACAGGTTCTATTTGGTTCGGCTCGGGTGTGTTTGAGTCTATTCGTCGATTGTGATCTTCAGAATTACCGCTAGGAGCACCGACCCTTCTTCCATTCGCTCGGTTCACTTTGACTCGCTCCACCACAATTTCAGCGTCGGATTTGCGTCCGCCGACTTGTGCTCGGGCGACTTCGACTCCCGCTCGATTAGGTTCGGGTCGTACTTCTTCGGTGGCATTATTTCGTGTTTCGGTGTGCGTTCGTTCTGTCTCGTGCGCTGATCGACCTTCCGAGATCATTCGAGTCACATCGCTAGGCCGTGGCGTTCGTTGAACGACTTCGGGTGGAGTGGATGTAGGTCGTGTGATTTCGTGTAAGGTTCTAGTCAGCTCGGTTTGTGCGCGTATGACATCGTGAGGATTGTTAATTTTCTTGAAGGTGGCCGAGAATGGGTTAGTTTTTACTTTTTCCACTTCCTTTTGTTTTATGTCCACGTCCACTGCCGTATGTCTGGAAATAAACAAAAAAGATTCATCAATGATAAATGTATTCATAAGGAGAATGGTGTATCTGTTTATTTGGATAGCTTTTCTTGGAAAACTGAATATGAATATGAGTGCGAAACAAGAAAATGCTCCATCTCGTCTTGTCTCTTGTAGCCGGAAGAACATTTCTCTCTTGTCACGACGAGAATACCAATCCTCGACGCAACAAGGGATAGCATTCTCTTGTCTCATCTTGTCTTCTCTCGAACTTTCAATTGCATGGTAAGCATTGAGTAATTGTTTTAGTATTACTGTGTCTATATTTCAGTAGTACAAAAAACTTGACAGTATTTCAGTATTTGTACTGTGGAGGTAAACGTTAATCGCCAATCGACAAACATTATAAATAACATTATTTGTTGCACATAAGGCGCCATGGAAATATTTTCAATTCAAGTAGAAAATAAACAAGTACCTGGTGAGAGACTTACTACTAGCCAAGTACAAATAACAGATCCAATCTCCCTTCTTGCCGAGACAATATTTTTCAAGGAAAAAATCTCCTGTCTCGTTCTATACGAGACAAGAGACGAGAATCTCTTATTTCGGTGGCAATACTGATTTTCTTTGTCGTTCTTGAATTTTGCAGTGATCTCTTTGAATCTTTCACGGTTTATGTTACAAAATAGTTTCAAAGTATTTAGTAGTTGGTTGAGCCACCAGATATATATTAGAATAGGTTGGATTCGACTTGGACAACTCTCAAGTCATTAGGTATAGACTGAAATAAAGTTAATTTGAAACCTACTGGCTGCATCCTTCAGTTGACCTTCTGATTAAGTATCTATGTAACCAGTTGTAATAGTTTTCTCTGCCTCTCATTGTTATTTGCCTTTGCTTCCACAAAACGCATTCTGCCCGTACCAATTGTATATTTGCTTCATAACCGTTGTAGTTTTGTTCTATTCTTGACAAATCTGTCAATCTTAGTCATGATTCGTGCTCTTTGTATAATTCAGATAATTGATTTTTATCGAACCTGAACTGACAATATCAATTGCCATATATACACGACAGTTTTTTTGAATATAAATTGTCAATTAACCCATACGAATATATGGTCTACATGCTTTGTTTTCATTGGTATACCACAGTCTCGAAAATAGGTCACACCAACTGAACAGGCAAAAACAATTTCAAATCCAATCGACCTAAATAGTTATAACTCACATTTCCATTATAGTTCTAAACCGAACAAATCGTGACTGAATTCTTCACAAAAATGCCAAACATTATTTCCTAACACCACACACACGAATCGAAATTTTGTTTAATCGAGTGATCGACATGCAATACAAGTTTCCAATGGAAATTAAACACAACATAACAGCCTCACTACAGTTTCTGGAAAGATGAATCGAAACGATTTGTTTTTAAATGCCTTTATTATCTCCGAACGAAAATTTAATTGCTCCTTTCAGTGACGTATGGTTCTATCGTTGCCGGCATATCGAAGGAATTTTTGTTGAGGTTAATTCTCCAACAATAACAAAACAGGCAAAAATAATAGGCCAGTTTACAGAGAAAGAATCATGGGAATTGTTTGACTTAGGTTAATCAGGATCTAAATGTCACGGCTATCATTTCAAGCAGATTATCTTGGTTTCGGGACAAGATTATTTATGCCGTGTCATCTTAAACTTCCATGTATTAGGCTTGAGAACTTTTATTGAAAATCGTTCTGAGTGAACTTTCTGATGGGAATTTTAATCCTTACAGTATTGAAAAATATATCTGGAATATCAAACAGTTCATTTCCAATTCTTAGCTGCTACTCTGTTGCAATAAAGTGTATTCCTTAAGATCCAAACGAGATAATAGTCCATTGGATAATGCAGTGTGAGTATTCATATAAATATCAATATTTCAAGCAGTTTTGATTTAATTGAAAAAACTAGAGCAGAAGCTGGTTATGTGATCCCCACAGGTATTGTGGCCCCCTTCGATATTTCTTATTTAGAATTACGCCATCTGGTAAAATTTCTTTCTCATTCTCGTGTTTTTCGTACCATTTTAAACCTACATTCGCCCAAAGTTTGTTATTGTACTACATTTGATTCAATAATTGTGTAAATATCAAGTGTCAGCTGGGAAGAGTTAGATATGGTGGTTGATTAACCTTTTTTTTACAGAGTCATTATGCTAAATATTTGATGATCCCGTGGGCTATTTTACATGCAAGTATGATATTTGAATAATTTAATTTTTTTACAGATGCCTAGACAAATTTTGCTATCTCCAGCTTCGAAATAATGAAAACTTGGAATCCTTACCAAAGAAAAAAGGGTATTGAAGCAGTGTGAATAAAGACCATGTGTTCTAAAAAGGCGGTGAAAATATTTCCTGTACCTAGATCCACATAGAAAAAATCCTCAGGAATATTTGGAGTTACTTGAAAAGAAAGCTTGTGGAATCTAGATACTATGGACTTACTAGGATGAATATTCGCTGACATTAAAAATTAACAACGAAAATAGCTTCAGAACTGAAGTAGCAAGGAGAGCTTCGTTGGATCGTTTTTTGAAGTGACATAAAGATTTATTACCTCCACGCAGGACGATGGGGACATCACATGCACGTACTCAAGGCTTCAACCGTGATTTATTGGAGGCTGAAATGAGAAAAGTAAATTACACGCCGGACAGAATTTTAAACGAGGATGAGATGGACTGATTATTGTGCAGTCAAAAATACCACAAGTCGTTAGTAAAAAAAAATTATAGTGTCTTTGACTGCTGCAGAACGAGGATGTTAATATTCTCTCTCTACCGGGATCTATGGGCAAAGTTCATCCATCTGGTTGTATCCAAGCTAATTTGTTTACCTAATGGTTCAGACATTTCATTGAAAAAACAAATCCTACTGATATCTCTCCAGTATTACTAATTTTTGACATTATAGTCAAATTCAGATATTTTGAATTTGGTCCGAGAAAAACATGTCACAATTGTCTGTCTTCCACCACCCATAAACTACAACCATGCCCTCAAAAGTCGAAAGAATGCTGAAGGCTCACGACATTGCTTAGCTTTTTGGCCGCGCTTATTTTCGTGCCACTGGCATTTATCCGTTCAATCCGCAGGTTTTTACTGAAATTAATTTTTTTTCAGAAACATCTTACAGTGATCAACTAGCTCTCAATGATCCACACACTGGCGTTCATTATAACCTAGACATTCCGGGAAAAAGTTCCGCAGTCAGAGAGCAATTTTGTTCTGCCGCAAGACATTCAGCCGATCCCTGGGGTTGAAGCTAAGACATTAAATTGTGTGAACGCGAACGCGAATGTGGACGTGGGAGCAGACGTGGACGCAGCCTTCTAAGGTGACGAGATGATAGAGAGAATGGCGCCGGCAGTTCCAAAGAGCGTTCCAAAGAGACGTGATATACAGCAGTAGCTCCGACAATGAAGAAGTCATAGACACTGACTCATCTGAATCTGATGAACATGTTGTCCGTCAATCGCTAGTACCTGACGACACAGATACAGTTTGTATATTATGTGGCGCCAATTATTCCAGTGACAGACCTGGAGAAGAATGGATCCAGTGTCAGAGCTGTGACTTACGGGCTGTGTAGGTCCTGAAGGCGAATATTACATCAGCAATTTTTGTTGTTGAGTTTAATACATTTAATTTGGCTCCCAAGGTGCCGTATAACCCACACTCGATCTCAAATTGTCAAATTGGCATTTTCCTAGTATACATTGATTTTTTAATAATCTGTTGCGTTTTTTTCCATAGTAATAATTTACATATAGCCAAATGAATACCAAACCCGGGATGTATTATTTTTCTTTTATTTCTTACACTAGGTTTTGAAAATTGAATGGGGGGCACAATCCCGCCTTCTTCTCTGAAACGATAACTATGTATTTTATTTGTACTTGTATTACTTCTTTTGTACAATGTTGATGGTGTGATCCAATGTTTATTAATCACAAGGTTGTTTCTGGAGTATCTGAAAATGATTTCCACATTTGAAACATCTAGTATGAATAGGATTTAATCGAAGCACTAGCAGAAGTAACAAAAAAACTGGGGTCGGTAGAAAAAGTGTTAAGCATGATGTCATTGAAGAGTCGAATAAAAAAACTCACCATTTTTTTCATGGGACACGTACGAAGACGTAAACAGAATCATTGAAGAAAGTCTTGTTGGAAATTGACGTGAATCGTGTGACAACAAAAAAGCTCGAAAGTCCTGTTCAAGATATTTGAGAATGGATCAATCCAAGATTGTGTACAGTTTCGTCGATCAGTTTAAATCTACGTTGAACACTCATCAGCAACCTTCGATCCCTTCTGGGGGTTGGCTCTCCCCATACCATGAAACACTAATAAACTGAGACTGTCACACTGTTTGGATTATTTTACACAAAACAAACTCTGGGTGGACACTCTTTTTTCTTTCTTCTTTTCAGAAGGCTGCTCATTTTTTGGAACGTAGATCCCTATCGCAGTGTAGCGAGGGTAGTGTGCAAACGCCTGGAGAATCACTTTCAGTTGTTATGAGGTTCTCCTTATACCACCAATCCCGACTCCGTAGTGTCATGTTCGCGTTAAACTTGAAACATGTAGTGTGTTTATCATACATAACCTCAATTTTAACTCATGGTTTACTCGTTACAACCAGAAATTTTTATGCGAAAAAATGTGTTAATACTGTTTTTTGTGCCATAAAAATACGTCAAGTTAATCGACACATGTAGTTCTATGTCAGAAAAGTACCCTCAATTGGTCAATGGAACGCAACCATGTATAATTCATCCAAATTTATTGTATTGCCTTCAAATTACACACTTACGCCAACGAACAACTCAATCATCAAAACATTTTCACAACGCATTGTTGGCATCGACTTCAATACTCGCTGTCAAGTCTCTTTTATGTTATCTATCGACTGAAAACGGGTTCCTCGAAGTAGTAATTTAAGTTTTGGGTGAAAAGTCGGTCGGGCCAATACG